TACTCAGTGATCACATTCCTTGTGAGGAGTTGGTACATGTACATAACACATGCCAATTCTTTTTGCCTTTTTTCTTATTTTTTCTGTTAATTTTTCTTTTTCTTTATCAACTTTGTCTTCAAGTCTTAATATTATTTCCTCTGCTTGATCTCATCCATGGATGAGGTTTTCAACTGAGATTTTTATCTGATTTATTAAGCTTTTTGTATCCAAGATTTCTATTTGAATTCCTCTCTCATATCCTGCATTGTCTTCCTTAACTTATTCAGTTGTTTATTTGTGTTCTTTTGGAATTCATTCATCTTTTTAAAAATAATTCCTTTAGGGCTGGGGATTTAGCTCAGTGGTTCCACTGCCTGCCTTGAAAACACAAGGACTCGAGTTTGATCCCCGGTAACAAAAAAACTAAAATAATAATAATAATTCTCTTAAATTCTTCATCTGGCATATAATCTATCTTGGTATCTTTGGACTACGTCACTATAAAATTATGAGCTTTCTGAGATGTCATATTGCTTGTTTTTTTCATACTCTCCCTTCCTAGTGGTGGAACTCAGTGTCCTCTACCACTGAGCTATATTCCCAACCCTTTTTGAGAGAGGGTCTCAGTAACTGCCTAGGCTGGCCTGAAACTTATGATCCTCCTGCTTCAGGTTCCTGAATAGACAAGATTAAGGTATGCGCCACGGCACCCAGGTTATTTCCTGTGTATCTATGTTGAGCTTTGTGCATCTGTTGGATATCTCCTCATGGCTTCTCTTTATGATGTTCATGCTTTATTGACTTACTGTACAATGTTGGGTTTAATTCAACTTGGACTTCACTGTGTAGTTTCCCTGTGGTTGCTCTGGCTGTGATTAGTGGGTTTTGACATATTATATATTATATCAGAGCCCGAGGGACTAGCTTTCTCTGTAGGTCTCACAAGGGTGGGGTCCCTTGGGTGGTTCAGGCCTGTCTGATGTAGATAACAGAGTATATGGCATGGTGCATTCTGTGGTTATTCTTCCAGACTTATCTACTATGGTCTAATGGGGATGGGGCTGACCAGTGCTAAGGCCCTTCATAGGTTTGGTGTGTAAACATTTTGTGTCATTTCTCTTTTCTTTTGTAACGAGACCAAATGTCCAGGAACAGGTGTTCAGGGCCCCCTAGCCATGCATACTTGAGGCTGGCTCATAGGCTGCGATCTTTTATCCTTTAAATTGAACTATCTGTCAAGGCTTGTGTGCTGCTGGATCGTGGGTGGAATAAAGTGCAGTTTCTGTTCGTTGGACTGGGAGTGACACAGCATCAACCCAGCATGCTCAAATTGTCAGGCACCATCTGCGGCATGACAAAGAGGAACACGAGCAATAACAACAGCAAATGAAAGCAAACTGGAGACAGAAATAAAGTAAAAACCAAATAAAAACTCCCCCAACCACACCAGCAATAACAGAAATGATAGAGGTAAAATAATACAGAATAAACCAGAATAAAAATGACATATATAAATTTTTCTTCTCTGCTGAGATTGTTAATTTTTCAGACTAGAGTGAATGTTTGCAACGTAAGTCAATCAGACCTTTTTTGCATGTCTTCTTCTAGGCTATGATCTCCTGAGAGAGTAGAAACTTGGGGTTACTCACTCCCTTCTTCTCACTTTTGTGTTGCTTCCCCAGGAGACCAGAAGGAGTAATCTGTGACTGCAGCCGGTTGATGTAGTTCCTATCTGGCCTGCTCACCTGTTCGAGCTAACACTGAATGCACAGCTAACTCAGCAGAGTTTTATTCCAGAGATGTTTGTTGTATGCATTCCAAGGGCAGGGCAGATGGCAGGTGCTGCCATATATCGGGTTCTCTTACACCTTTAGTGATGACTACCTCGAGAGTAGAAGAGATTATGTAGTTACAACTGTCTACATGGGAAAGAGATTGTCAGTACAATCTACTACCCACTGCTCCACTGCTCCAACACTTAGTTCCTGTGCAAAATCACATGTGCCTCCTCAATCCCCTGAACTCCAGCAGCTGATTTCCCAAGGTATTGATCTTTTTTTAAAAATGTTTTTCTTTTTAATTTTAAATTAAATTTATTGGTACATTCTAGCTAGACAGTATAGTTACATTCACTACTGGGATCTTGTACCTTTACATGCCAGGTCTTGGTTCTCATTTTTTCCCCTCGTCCCCACCCTCCCTTCACCCCTTCCTCCCCTCCCCACCTTCAAACACTTTAATACCATTTTTACATTTTCTCATATTTTTTTCCTTTTTCCTTATTCCTCTTTCCCTATCCTTCTCACTGTCCCTACACCTTTGGCCCAAGGTTTTGATCTTAAAGGGGTAGTAACCTCCATTCCCTTCCATGTGGCTTAAAATGGACCTCAAAGCAGAGATGGTGGCCAAGTCAGAGCAGTAATATTTGCTGCAAGGTTTTAGAGAGAGAGAATGAAAACTCCAGCGGCCATTGACTCCCAACATAATTAAGCTTAGAAGGCCTTATTTAGATTGCTCCTTGCCACAGCACTAAACATACTCAGTAGGTGTTTATTAGGTCTTTCCCCCTTTATTCTCTACCTACACCCTTTCCCACACTGCTGCACAGCTGGGACTGGGGAGCTCTGTCTCTCTTTCTGTTCCACTATCCAGAGTCTCTGGGTTTTTCTAAGTCTCTGTCTATATGCTCTAAATGAGTAGCTAATCTCCAGTTGTTTGATTTTATCTCATGAAAAAGTGGGTGAGTGCTGGGTGCCACTAATCTGTCATCTTGAATACTAAACCTCTCAGTAGTTAATGTTAATCAGTTTAACAATAACCCACAACCTTCGGACCAACTCTCAGTAGTTAATGAATTTTAATTCCAGAATTGCTATTAATGAGGGGATGTGAACCAAAACAAAAAGTCATTTAACCTCTCAATCTTAGTTATCAAATATGTAAAATGAAAAGGTTTCAAATGTTTTCAGTTGCATAATTCTTTAACTAAAGTCTCCCAAGAAAGCACAGCACAAAATGATGATAGTGGGATACACCCATGTATGGTTGCACATGAACTGTTCACATCCTCTTCACCTCACCACACGACCCAAAGATAAACATCAGAGCAAAGTTCAGACCAAGATGATCAACGAAATTTCCAACAATCTAAAAATGGGACAACTTTCCTAAATGAGATAGAATAAAAATTCCTCTCACGATGTCCCCAGGAAGCAATCAAATTAAAATAAAAAATTGTTATTAACTTTGACCTTGTGGTATGATCCTGAAATGAACAGTAATGATGTAATAATAAATGCCAACAGAAGATGGCAGGCTTCAAAATATTTAAAGATTGAATATAATTTTCTTTAGGTCATTGATTTGAAAGGTAGAAGACATCTAGTACATGTGTAAGGTTTCCAAGTGACAGGAAAAAGTTTGATAGTGTAACAGGTATACATTCTGATTACCAATTAGATCACCTAGGTAGATTAAAAGATGTAGCTAATGTGGGTATTCTGATATTTGTTGTAAGAATATAGCCCACTGTTCAATTGGCTTGGCTAAACAGTTTATAAAATAGCATTTTACAAGTATCATCAGCTAAATGGTTGGCTGGTTGGTAGTGGTAGCAAAGGGCCTTCACACCAATCTCCATACCTGCTCTGTTTTTATTTTTTCTTTTGAAATAGAATCTCATTAAGTCACTAGGTTGTCCAGGCTGGGCTCAAACTTCTTGTGGCCTAAACCTCGCAAGGTGCTAGGATTACAAGCTTGTACCACAAGGCTGGCTTTAAATCAAATCTTTACTTAACTCAGGCATAAAGACAATGCAATATTTCCTCATTATCTTATATGGCTCTTATTAGTAATAAAATGAATCCAGCATGAACTTATTTAAAGCCTGCATACTAAATAAAAGATAATAGGAAATATAGGGAGATAGATCTTTTGCAAATGGGAAGGAGACTAAGAAATGGTAGAAAGGGAGAGGGAGTTGGGCGTGGTGGTGCACACCTTAATCCCAGCACTCATGAGGCTGAGGCAGGAGGATCACTGTGAGATTGAGGCCAGCCTGGGCTACACAGTGAGTTCCAGGTCAGTCTCAACTACGTAGTGAGATCCTGTCTCAAAAAAAAAAAAAAAGGTAGAGGGAGGCAAGGGGAAGATGAAAGAAAATTAAGATCTATTATGTACCTGCTCCCCATGAGAAATGCAATCATTATATACTGCAAACATGTATTGATAAAAAATTAAAAAAGGAAGCATACTTAAACTTTTAATAAACTCAAAACTATTCATATTAAACTCTGTAGTCTTCTTACATATAAGAATATATAAAATTTACTTTTAGAAACTGCCACTACTTTCTCTGAGTCCTAGAGTTCTTATATTGGATTTCAGTCCATAATTAGATAAATTAAGTACCTGAATATTGAAACAAGAGTAATAATTCATCAAGAAAAACACATTCCATGAATTACATAAAGATCATTGCTATGTACCAGTGGTGGTGAACCTATGGCACACATGCTGCTTGTGTCACTGAAAGTTCTAACAGGTTCACCCTCGTGGCTATGTACTAATATATAAGTGTATGTAATAGACTGCCCTGCTGTGACTGTCCTGGAAGACACAGTAAATATTTCAGTGTGAGGTTTAAATTCCCATTTCATCCTTGTTTATTAAAAGCAAAAAGACAATTTCTACTCAAAGATATATGATGCAAAACTAATCTGGAAGAATGAAATTGAACAGGAACCAGATAGCATTTCTATTACTTGGCCTGTTATAGACACTTAAATTAGTCACATCTTTTTAGAAGTGAAGAAAAGACCCTTCAATTAATAAACACCAAGGCTTTCACTATCCAAAATCATCATTTCAGACTAAGTAAATGATTACGTTTTTAACATTTGTGCCATGATCAATATTTTACTACAATATAATCTTGGCATATCCCTGAAAAGCAGAAAATCATTTATAGTGAATACATTAAGTCAACTTCCAAAAAAGTTAACAAATTCATAACTCACTTTCCAAGCATGGTAAGTACCAGAGGGATCTGTCTGATATAATCTTGGGATACCATCATCATCAAAACCTACAATTAAGGCAGAAATACCAAAAGGTCTTCGTCCGTTGCTCTGGGTATATTTCTGAAAAGTAAAATTTAGCTTTAGGATAACATTATTATTTATAAAATATAATTTTTAATGGTAAAACATTGGTGTCAAAAGGATCTACTTTCCTGACCTTTATTCTACATACTTTTATGATCCTTTCTGAATTAATCTCAATTCATAATGAAAAATTTAAGAATTATATACAATCTGTAAAGTAAAATGACAAGTTTTTTTATATAGTTTTAAAATATTTTTCTATTGCTTTATGAATATTCAGTAACATAACTAGACTGTAATTTCTTTAATAGAGTAGATAACTATCTTTACACCACACCACTTTGGTTCTCAGCAAAACTGATTTCAATGAGCTGTGCTTTGGAAGCACATACTTGGTTTGCCTTGAGGAGCACTTTAATTGTTACTATTATTATCAAGCATTCTTAGCTGATACTATTATAGTCAAATATATTCTGCTAAGTATAAACTAAGTTGCCTCTACTTAAAAATTCAAGTGAGACATTTTTTTCAGCCCCCAAACGAAGGACTCTGTTTCTTTCAAAGAAAAAGCATACATTTTTCTCATAGATAATGGGGCACTGGAAACCAATTATAGTTCTTAGTACTTTAGCGTCAGAAACTTCCTGGATTTGTACTCAGGCGTGAATTCACACCGAGATTGGGGTTCCCACATGTCATGTACTGAGGAAGCACTGACACAAAGCAGACGACTAATATGTAGGCAAATTTATTTAAATGTATATAATTATATGGCTGTATGTACCTCTGATGATACTTTTTTTTTTAATTGGTACCAGGGATCGAACTCAGGACCTTGCTCTTGCGAGACAGGTGGCAGCACCACTGAGCTAAATCTCCGGCTGCTGTATATAACTCTGTATGCAATTCTGTGGCTGAATTACTTTACTTCCTGGTTTTATCTATGTATCATATCTATTTTCTTATTTTTCAATTTTATTATATAAATTTGAATATGAACACTTGAGCAATGTACATAAACAACCTGTTTCAGGTATGAAATGAAATGACTTAGAGGAAAAATATTTTTATTTTATTTACTCAATCAATTTTTTTAAAAATGAAAAAGTAATGCACACAAGGGTTAAAATGATTTAAAAGTACAAAAGATGCATATGAGATATCAATCTTCTGTCCTGGAGCCTCAGGCCTCCTCAGTGACAATTTCATTGTTGCAGATTCATAACTGTTTCTATAAATATTCTATGCATAACCTTGATATTTCTAGAATAAATCTTAAAACCACAACTGGGAGCCTTGTATGTACACTGTTCTGTCCTTGCTTTTTGGTGGATGTGTTTTTAACAACTGGGAAAATCAAGACAAATATAAAAGTAGGATAACACAAAAATACTGTGCATTCTTGCAACATGAATTAATAAATTTAAAAAATAAATAGAAAGTTGTTGCAAATCAAACTGTAGTTTCTAGAATATGCACAGTTTGTGAAAAAATCTTTACACAGATCCATAATAACATCCATGCCAGAAAGTATTTTATATGCTTGAAATGCAGTAAATCATTTAATCCACAGTGCAATTCAACCAAGTATCAGTAGGTATTATTGTAATGCTCACCTTACATTAAGAAAATCAGAGCAAAAGCGGCTAAATACTCTTTCCAAGGCACCAAATAAGTACTAAGGCCAGGATTTTATGTATGTATGTATGTATGTATGTATGTATGTATGTATTTATTTGGTTTTTTGAGACAGGGTCTCACTATGTAGTTGAGATTGATCTGGAACTCACTATGTAGCCCAGGCTGGTCTCGAACTCACAGCGATCCTCCTGCCTCAGCCTCCTGAGTGCTGTGATTACAGATGTGCGCCACCATGCCTGGCCAGGCTAGGGTTTAAAACCCCCAATTCTGGCTATCACAGGCATATGTTTAAAAGCTTGGTTGCCTCTTAAAAGAAAAGATAGTTCACACTATGAGAAACGGAAATAGCAAACTAACATGTAAAAAATTCAACCTCACTAATTATAAAACACAAATTAAAACAACCATTACAGTACTATATAATACTTACTTTGCAAAATAAAGAAAAATGAAAAACTCAATGTTGATAGTTCCTCAGGGACAGCTAGTTCCTAATAAAAATTTGTTCAATTTTTCTAAGAAGCAATTTAGCTACATATAACCAGAGTCTTAAAATCAATTACAATCTCTAATCTTGTAATCTCTTACTAAAAATTAATTTAAGAATAAAATTCAAAGCAGAAAAACAAAAGCTATGACCAAGATAATGTTATTAGGATAATAGAGAATGAAAACGAATATTAAAGAAACTAAAGACAATGTAAATTTCAAATAGCAACTACAAGCAGTATAATATAGTAAAAGAATGTAAGGATGCTGCTGCCATATATAAAGTACATACAAAATAAGTTTAACAGTAATACTTCCATATATCACAATTATATTTAAATGATAAACCATGTATCTATGCATGGATTCAGGAGAAATCACATCTAAACCTGATCAACTGTGTTTAAGTTTGTAGAAAAATAATGTTTATTTCTTTTAAAACTTTAAAGTATCATTAGCATTGCATTTCCACACCAGATCGGCGCGTTGAGGGTGGTATGGCCATAGACAGTACTGCATTTCCAGAAGAATAGAAATTCCTTTAAGAGATTAAACTTATCATCCTTTTACATTTTATAGAATTAAACTGATTAAAACTTCTAGTAATTAAATCAATTCATTATACCCAGATAAGAGTGATTAGGAGAAAGAATTAGGAATTTAGTAGTTTTGCTTTGTTTTCGTCCCCCACCTGGAGTCAACAGATGACTATAGAAAGCACTCAGGTAGATAGGTTGTTTTTGCTGTTGTTAAACTTTTTGTATTAGTACATATTTGTCATATATATTGACCATATTCATCATAGGGAATTTGTACCTGTACATAATATATCTTCATTCTTTTCCTCCATTCCCCTCTCCACCCTTTGACTCCTCCTCTCCTCTACATTTGCATAAGCTTTTTTCAATGTTTTTCTTTCCATTCTCTTGTTCTCTTTGCCCATTCTTGCCTTTGCCCTTCTTCCTCCTCTTTCCCTTGTTCCCCTTTCCATTTAAACATTTTCTTCCTACTTCTCAATATTTACCATCCATTTTGGTCATTTTTTTTTATGCTTTTGGTTTCTCAAAAAAAGGAAACAATGCAATATTTAAACATACATGTCTTATTTTACCTAAAACTATGGTCTCAAGGTTCATCCAATTACATAAAAATGTCTCAAGTTTATCTTTCTCCATGACAGAGTAGTAGTACTTCATTAGAGGTGCCTGTGACCCAGCTATTTCGCTTTCTTAGTATCTTCGCAAAAGAGTTAAAAAGCATCATACCACAGCAATATATGCACAGCAGTAGGTATGGCAGCACAATTTGTAATAGCTAAGTCTTGGAAATAGCCTAGATGCCCATAAACAGATGAAAAGATAAACAATTTAGTAGTTTTTACAGACTGAAGGCTTGGAGTGATTGTATGATCTCCATGATGGAACCTACAATGAGGAGAAAGGAAAGGAGAAACCTTAAGAAAAATCTGTTAGAATACTAACTTACCTGCTTTAAAGTTGCTATAAAGCGAGTTATGTATTCTACAGTGACCGAATCCTCAACTGTAAGCTTATGGCTCTGGCACGCCACCTGGGCTCTGTTTATTATGACTCTAGCATCAGCAGTCAGTCCTGGGAAATAGTTAAAACTTTTTAAAATATATTTTTCATGATACATGCTTCCTTGTCAAAAGGGTTTCAGCCACCATCAAATTTTTCTTATAACACCCCTACACACAACACACGCCCTATATAAAAGAATTGTGTTATTCTCAAACTTTGGCTTTCTTTCCTTTTAAGACTTATTTTAATGTGTTTTGTTTAGTTTTTAAAGAAAATGGTTTAAAAGAATAATGGGTTTAAAGAAAATGGTTTAAAAGAATAATGGGTTAAACACTAACAGTAACCTGGATTTCTTTTTATCAAATAAGTGTTACTTCACGGTCAAACTTATATTCACTGAATTTAAATTTCATTTAATAAATCTGTGATATGTCATATCACAGTTTTTTTTTTT